ATTGCAGCCATATCCTCGTTCCATATGCAGGCTCTGCTTCCTGCTTAGCAGTGCTGAACAATGACTGTGCCTTACGGCCTCTCTCTCAGTGCAAGTCTATGAGTCAGGCCTGACTGGACTGAAAACATTAGCCCAGAGGTAGCCAAACTCCGGCCCCTCCAGCTGTGGTGAACACTACAAATCCCATGATGCATCTCTCTCCGGGAGTCATGTCTGTGGCTGCGAGAATCTCGCAATGCCTCATGGGATTTGTAGTTCAGCCCCAGCTGGAGAGCCGGAGTTTGGCTACCCCCTGCATTACACTCTGAAGGGCTAGCTGGACTTATCTCAGCAGACATGAAGCGAGGCCGCTGATCACATTCCCTGACATACAGGTGCCTATTAGAGGGGGCATTGACATATCTGTATGTGGATCAAAGTTATCAGAATATGGAACAGCAAACACAGAAAGTGAACGTTGCATTAAAGTGACTCTCAGGAAAGAGTTCAAATAACTAAAAACAAAGCACATCAATCATCTCCCTTTATGCCGCGGACTAGTGAAGCCTCGTTAGTGCACAGGACACACACTAGACGGCCCAGTGCAGCCCAGCCGGGACCACGTGTCATGTCTATAGAACCATGACACAAGAGCTCCTGTCTGTACACACAGGTGCGGGGTCAGTGCTGAGGACACGGTGTTGGGGTCTCGTCCCATATACATTATGGAACCCATGTACACTGATATCAGAGGCGCAGGGGTACACAGAGAGCTCATGTACAAAACGCCATAACCGGACCAGAGACCCCCAGGCTGCCAGGACTGCCTGCTGAAGATGTTGGCCGCCTGGTTGTCTTCTAGTCCATGACCTAGAACAGGATTGCTGCAACCAAAATCAGAGTGACCTCACAGCTCCTGATCTGTAAATCTGTCACAGACATGACAGCCAGGCAACTAGCATTCCCAAGAATGCGGCCTCCATCCGTCCCGCGTACCGGTTCCCTTTAAAAGACACAGATGAGTTGTCACCATTAAAGGATACGTCCATCCTGATCTGATGTACCGGTTATAAGCTGGCAGGCTGAATCAAGCCTTCTTATTAGGATGGGCTCGGGCGTGTTCGCAGCTCCACGTGCTGAGCCCGCCAGGAAGATGACAGCGCCAATCACAGGTACTGAGACCTTTCCCGATCCCTGCAGCTGCGGACCGGGATAATGTATCAGGACCTGTGATTGGCGCCGTCAGCTTCCTGGCGGGCTCGGCACGTGGAGCTGCGAACACGCCCGAGCCCATCCTTACTTCTTATATCTCTGGTGAGCTAAGTGATCCTGGGTTCCCAGCCCCGCCCCTCTGCTTCCAAACGGATGATATCACAGTGGCTTAGCCTTGTAGCACCGGGGTCCTGGGTGTGAATCCGGGCCAGGATACTATCTGCATGGAGTTTGTCTGTTCTCATCTACATTACATGGGGCAGGGCTGGAGCCAGGTCACCAATGCTCCTTAAAAATTCCAATTGGCGCCCAACTTTTGAGGTTTTCTCTAGTCGTGGTCAATGGATCTGGCTCCTAGAAGCAATCCTACTGGCCCCTGGATTGGACAGACTGGCTCCTGAGTTCCATATCAATGTGCCCACCCCTGACATAGTGGGCAGGTGTCCTGTAGTTCACAGAGGTGCGCTGGACATGGCTGATTGGACTGCCCATGGTAATAGCAGGGTGTACAGGAAGTCAGGAGCTTACTGGATCTCTGGCAGGACCAACAGCCCAAATAAGAGAAGCTCACTGTCAGGGGTTATATATACAGAGGGGGAAGATGGGTGTAGGGAGCAGGAAAGATGGTCACAGTTGGCATACCAGAGTGTCTCCAGGTTTTGATAGGAAACTGGGAGTGATGTGCAGGCACCTGATGGTGCAACATGGCGGGGCAGGGGTGGGGCTGCGCTTAGGGGTGGTTGGCTTAGGGGCCGGGTAGAAGCAAACCTTAGGCTCTATTTGGAATAGGGAAGGGGGGGCTTTCCAACCGGTTATGTTGGTTGGGGAAGGGGGCCCCAGAGGG